GATAGTTGCCTCTTCACTTCCAGACTTTACCTCTCATTTTGGGGGATCTGGCAACATTTTAAAGGCATTCAGTAAATAATCTCAAGTTCAGCGTACATTCTTAAATGTAAAGATGATAGTACAGACTCCCCGCCCCAGGACTCGAATCTATGGTTCTCCCTTTTTCTCCATTTCCTAGACCTTTTCCCCATGTCTACCTGTCCTTAAGCTTTGGGAACAACTAGGTCATAACCGGTTTTCTAAAATGCAGACCTCTTGGGGTTCCCTTAGGGAATGGAACCCCTACATTCCAGACAGTTTTTAAAGAAAAAGACTGAAATAATTTCTTCAGGCCGATCTCAAGCCATTACTCAGGAGTAAGAATAAAAACAACTCATATTACTGAGGACTTCCCATGGGCCATGCAGTTTACCTCCAAGAGATATGCTTTCATGTGCACTTAGTTCACACAAAAACACCAAGAAGTGGTGTTGTCACTTCCATATACTCACAAGGCAAATAGCCACAGAGGGAAGAGAGCTCCGCTAACATCCCGCTTGGTGTGGTTGCTCAAGCAGCAGTAGGGCTCCCCAGAGCACCGCAAGTCTGTAAAGAAGGGGCATCTCTAAAGACGTTCATCAAGCTGTTGGGCCCTTGGAAAACCTGATCCCCAGAAGGCATTCCAGGCAGAGGGGAGAACATGTGCCAAGACCTGGGGAGAGAAGAAGGAAAGGTGCTCAGTGAACCCAAACAGGCCTGCTGTGGCTGGAAGGGAGAGTGTCTGCAGGAATGGCTGGGAGAGACAGAGCTGGAGAAACAGGCAAAGGCTGGACCTAGCCGGGCCCTTAGAGTGCTTTCAAGACTTCAGATTTATCTTGAGGGTCTTTTCTCATCAGAAGGTGTTAAAAAGGGGAAGGAGAGGTTTGGTTTAGCTTTCCATTTTAAAAACGTTTCAAAATCTTGCTTTTTTAAAAGTCCCAGTCCAGGTTTCTGGCTTGAGTGATTGTGATCACTGAAGGAAGATGAGTGAGAGAGGAGGGAGAGTTCAGAAGCAGGTGGAATTACAGACACTAATGGGAAGTCTGCAGGTAGAAGAGACCTGTCAACAAGGTTAAGTGCTACACCAAGGTGTCTTAGGGTTTGGTCTCCAAAGGGACAAAGTCACCAGGCCTCAGTCATTTTAGGCTGATGCTACCCTTTCCCCATTCTTCCTCACTGGGAATAAATATAAATTCCAGTAAGATCTAGGAGGTTATGAACCTAATGGGAACGCATGTGCAATGGCTTGGAGGCAAGATGAGAAGGGAGGAGGGAGCACAGAGAACAGGTGAGAAGAACGATGCTGTAATGGGACAGCCAGCTTATCAATGACAAAGTTTGCCCTGGGCTGCACACTTGTTTCTAGTTTCAGGTACTTGTATGTTGACACCCAATGGTATAAAATACCCCTGGCCCCACTTTCTACTTGCCATGGAGATAAACCTAAGCTTATCCCAAGAAAGAATCTCCTAAATTTCTGTGTAAGTATAATAAAATGCTCCATAAGTAAAACAGATTTTTAAAAGATCACTTTCCCTTACTACATACATCAAACCAGCTTTTTGTGTATTTGCTTCTAGTCTGACTTACACAGCCAGGGAAAATAATAGTCTCTCTTTTTTTCATTAAAGGTCCTTTGTGGTCACTGGGTATTATTGTCCAATTTTAAAATTTATTCCTGTCCAGTTTATCTTTTATTTGAAATTCTTTCTGTTCATTTTTATTATTTACTTATTTCAGGGCACCAGCATTTACTTCCAAGCATCTCAGGAGAACTGCTTTTGACAAAGCTCTAGCCAATGCAACTGTTCATCAGGTGTATAGTTCCATTCTAAGGAGCTGACAAGGTCAATGTTGCTGAGTTCACATTGTTTCAAAGCAGAAAAATATTTCCCAGTGTTAAACTGAAGCAAAATGTCTTAATGCATATCTTGAAACACAAGTCAGATGAACAATAGAAGCACCAACACAAAGGGATGTTCAGCTGACCTGTGAGTCACTGCTTAGCTACCAGGTTTGCAAGGAGAGTCACTGTAGCAAAAACTAACTTGTGTATATATAATTATGGAGGTTATGAAAGTATTTTGCAAATACACCACTAGATTTTTGCCCCTGTTTTCATATCATTGGGAAGCAATATTAAAATCTCTTTAATGGTTTCCAAACATGTGGCTGAAATTTCATATGTAAGGGGATTTAAAGAAAATCAAAAGTCTGTCATCTAATTTGATTCAACGTTTTCCCTTTATTTGTAAATTATCTTGACGTTTAAAAAATGTAAATCTATATACATGTTATGGGAATGTAATTAATCATCTGTAAAGAGTATAAATCCTAACAAGATACTTTGTCAAATTAGCTCATCTTACTTATGATCTTTTTATCCCACCAATTTTGCGTGGTTTCTGGTTTCACTGAGTTGGGATTAAATCAGTGCATTCCTCCCACTGCATAATTAGGACTGCTTTAAAACTATGTAATTACAAACCTCAAGTGCAAATTGTGAATTGCACCCACTGTCATAACTGCCATTAGCATGGTTTTAAATTCTTTCAGAACAGTGAGGTAAAGACGTCATGTTAGTAAGTTCCACTGCAGTATGTTTGCTATTGATTATCTGCAGCAATTACATATTTGGATGGGATCCAAAACAAGATACAGAACGTGGGAAAATGCCAATGTTTTGTGAATCTAAAGGAGTTTTTAAGACAAAAAGAGTTCTTTTAAACAATAAAACTATGGATGAAAGAATTAGTGTAAGATTTTAAAATTACGCAAGTGCAGGATTAATTTTACAAATGGTACAGTCATCATTTATTGGTCTTCCTGGGAGAGGAAATGTATTTTGGATAGTAATCCACTCTAATTTTGATTATTTTCTATCGAGTGAAATTAAAATACTTATATGAAGGTTTTCCAAGTCTTACTGGACAGATTTTGCTCCATTTCTCACAGAGCTCTGCCAGCCCTCAGTCCTGTCCCTTACCATGAACTGCTTGGCGAGTCCAAGTTCTCCTTTCTCTCTTCTTCAACACAGCCTAGAGCTGGTAGGGTCAATCACACTTGATGCAAAATCTTCCTCATCCTGGAAGTTTACCCTGATGAGTCTTTGGTCATGTGCTTCCCAGTTCTAAAATAAGCTTTTTCATGATTAAAAAAGAAAAACTCACATACTTTCTTTTAATGTAAGGTGTTCATAATCCCTATGTAAACAATTTCCTTTGGAGTAAGTCTTTATTATTCATGCATTAAATGCTAAACTTTATTCTTCTGCTGGTACCCAAGTTTGATTCACTAATTAGCATGGTTTTAAATTCTTTCAGAACAGTGAGGTAAAGACGTCATGTTAGTAAGTTCCACTGCAGTATGTTTGCTATTGATTATCTGCAGCAATTACATATTTGGATGGGATCCAAAACAAGATACAGAACGTGGGAAAATGCCAATGTTTTGTGAATCTAAAGGAGTTTTTAAGACAAAAAGAGTTCTTTTAAACAATAAAACTATGGATGAAAGAATTAGTGTAAGATTTTAAAATTACGCAAGTGCAGGATTAATTTTACAAATGGTACAGTCATCATTTATTGGTCTTCCTGGGAGAGGAAATGTATTTTGGATAGTAATCCACTCTAATTTTGATTATTTTCTATCGAGTGAAATTAAAATACTTATATGAAGGTTTTCCAAGTCTTACTGGACAGATTTTGCTCCATTTCTCACAGAGCTCTGCCAGCCCTCAGTCCTGTCCCTTACCATGAACTGCTTGGCGAGTCCAAGTTCTCCTTTCTCTCTTCTTCAACACAGCCTAGAGCTGGTAGGGTCAATCACACTTGATGCAAAATCTTCCTCATCCTGGAAGTTTACCCTGATGAGTCTTTGGTCATGTGCTTCCCAGTTCTAAAACAAGCTTTTTCATGATTAAAAAAGAAAAACTCACATACTTTCTTTTAATGTAAGGTGTTCATAATCCCTATGTAAACAATTTCCTTTGGAGTAAGTCTTTATTATTCATGCATTAAATGCTAAACTTTATTCTTCTGCTGGTACCCAAGTTTGATTCACTAATTTAAATCCCTTTAAGCCATTTTCATAAAGTCTGTTTATTAAATCTCTTTAGACAATCACATGCTTTGCTATTTTATAAATTACTGATTTGAGGAAATAAAAAACTTCTTTTCTATATATATCAAATTTAGAAGTGCCAATCAAGTTCTTGATTGTATTTAAAAGACCCCATATGTATACATGCATAGTTTTATATACAAAGTGTGTGTGTGTGTGTGTGTGTGTGTGTGTGTGTGTGTGTGTATACTTTGATCATTATAATTTCCCTGCTATGTATTTCTGGATATTTATAAGTGAATTAAAGTGTGGTGGGAAAAGATCCCAGTTACTCTTAACAACTAAAAGCACTCTCTTGTAAAGTCTGCTGAAAGCAAGTGGTATTCATTTATTCTTTTCCTTGAAGTTCATAACAGGTAGAATTTTGTTAAGAATCTTCAGGTTGGTAGATTTAAAGACTTTGAAACTAGATAAATGCACAAGTCAGACTAAAGAAATAAGCCTTTGAAGCAAAGGGGTGGGGAAAAAAGTGGCTTTGCACAAACTAAGAGTTCATGTTCTATCTGTCTGAGTATTTTCAAACAATTGTTAGTCAATAAGGTTAACAATGGATACTGAAAATTACTAGCACTGTGACTTACTCTACCTGTATGAAGGTGCACTGAAGTAAAAGAGAATTTAGGAATAATGAATTAGTACCTCCCCTCTCTTCCTCAAATTTGTTTAGTAAATAGGGATATCCAGGTAACTGGTTCCAGTCTGGGTGTTGCTAGTTTCTAGAAATGGTCTCCTCCTGAAGCTTTCCAAGAGTAGCTGTTAGGTTGATGGCAAATGATTAACTCTGTCACCTTGGGTTTTGCATGCCTGCTTTTAAATAGGATGGGCTTCAGTCTTGCAATGGAAAAAATACAAAAGTCACCTTCAGCCTTACAGTACAACAATTTTAATAATCCACACTAAAATAGACAGCACAGTTTTGTAGATCAACATTGAAAGCAATTTTGCCTTACTTAAAATGCTTCTACTTAAGAATGCTTCCTGTTTCTCCTGTCCCTTCACTTAGGGTGTAAGTCTACAGAAGTACTTCTAAAGTGCATTTCTTGGGCATTTAAAACAGCACTGTGATTTGCTTTACAATAGCGAGTCCAGAATCAGAGCAGGGATTCCTCATTTGAGGAGCTGTGCAGGTCCACTTAAGCCACCATCTCTTAGAAAAGGACTCTTGTCACTCCCCAGGTGACACAAGGGGTTGAGGCCCCAGAATGGCTTTTTGGGGAAAAAAATTATGCCAACTTCCTCTGCGGAAGGTGTTTTCTCTGATCACAACTATTTAATGCATCCTTGAGTTATGAACTATTGAAAACTCAATTGACATGTGAGTTTCCAGGAATATAAAATAGTGGAGGGCTTGTGTGAATATTCTGAATTTGGTGGGATGAGACACCAAGTACAGGGGCAGGCCAGGATTCTCGGGTTTAGATGGGGAATGGAGGGCAGTGGTGGGAAGAGAGGCAGTCCTCGAGGGCTTCAGCTACTGCTTGTCATCGTGGGGGTCACCGGGGAAGCCCGCCTCCTCTGGGGACCTGGCTCCCTCAGGGAGAAGAGTGGCTCGCACTTTCCTCTTTTCCTTAAAACGGCCGGAGCGCGAGATCTTCAAACTGCGGCGGCTGTTGCCGGATTTCTCCCCGCACAGCTTGTCTGGCTTGTGGGGATCCCCAGAGCCCCCGAGGAGATTGGGGTGTTGATTCTCCTGGGAGCTGCTAGTCCAGTCCGGGCTGGACGGCGCAGGCGGCGCGGGCTCCCCCAGGGCAGGCTGGGAGGGAGGCTGCGCTCCAACCGAGGCTTCCTTGCTTTTCTTCCTGCTGTTGGCTAGCGATTTCCACCAGGGGCCCGAGCTGCCCGTGTCGCCGCTGTCGGCCATGCCAGCCGGCCGCGGGCCCGCGGTGCCGCCGGTGGGAAAGGGCCTCGGCGGCAGCGGCCGCCCTCTCCCCGTGGCCTCCGGATTCCACTCCGCCGGTTCGCCGGCCTCCCGCAAGCGCGTTGCGGGGCGGGAGCCGAGGCCTGTGCCGGGGAAGAAAGCAATGCTTGGTTACCGGGGTTATCACAGTCACGTGCCCCCAATCCTATCTCCTCCCTTTCGCCCTGCCCCTCCCTGGGGCGGCCGGGGTCTGAAAGCCCGGAGACGGCAGCCCTCAGAGGTCACCGACGCGACCCCCAAGGCGCCGGCGAGCGAGTGGCCTCCCGGGCGCCGCCGTCGGGTCCCGAGACGGTCTCGGCGGCCCCACGCTCCAGCTTTGCCTGGCCGCCGGGGGAGGGGCGGCGGTCAGAGCGCCAGGGGCACCCGAGGGGAAGAGGGCGGCTGTTCGTGGGCGTCTTAACCCGGCCGGAGAAGGAACACGGCCTGTCCTGTCCTGTCCCTCTGCTTGACTGTAGACAGACTCCCAAAGGTGACCCATCCAGCCCAGAACGAGCTCCCCTTGGATGAAGCATCTGGGAGGAGAGCGCCCAGAAGCTAGCGCGGCCCCGCTGTAGGTGAACAGGGAACATTTGCCCCTGTCAAACAGTTACGACATTTCTATCAAAGGTTTTTGCTCCCAGGATACTTTTCGATGTGATTCTTCAGGAAAACTTACATACGAGTAAGAGCGAGGGACAAGTTCATGGTGTTGTTTTTAAATTTTCGCTTTTGATATAACTTCTACCTTGTCACTTACAGAAAAGCACGTCTAGATTTAACTTTTCTTGAAACTGCCATACTTATCTTCCCCAAAGACCAAGCCTGCGCCTCTTTAAAGCGATTCCCGGTGATGACTGAGATGGGAAGCCAAGCCGCAAATGCCCTCTTCCCTTAGCGGCATATTAAAATATGCACCGAATCCGTTTGTACTAAGTAGCCCAACACTAAGAGATTTTTAGTTACAAACTAAAGGCTTGTTCCTTGCGTAATTCCCTCCTCCAAAAGAGAGCGCGCGCAACCAGCAACTCCACACCAACATGCTTATTTCTAGCTTTGAAAACAGCGCTCTGCGGAGGGAAAAGCTGTGTATTAGTATTTAAGGGGCTAATATCGGAAGCAATACTCCTCTGCCGGCTTTCCGTGCTGGATTCTTCTGGCAAGAGCTCCACGAATGTGCACGATTCGCTTGCGCCGCGGCTGGGCTACTTCCCATCCCACACGCCCAGCGCCCCTGGACTCGCCTTCGCGCTCCAGAGCGAAACTTCAGCGGTGTTTGTTGCTGGAGGTTCTTCCAGATCCCCGGGAGAGAGTCTGGGCGCCGACGCGAGGCGGCGCGGCGGCCTCTGGCTGCAGAGCCCTTGGCTCCCGTTCTTCCCCGGGAGGCCCCGAGGGCGCACTCGGGATGAGACTTGAAAACAACAGAAAAAAAAAAAAGGCCAAAAGTTCTTTGCGTACAAAAGGCATCCACACCCTCAGGCACAGTTTGCAGTTGAGTTACAAACATCCTGCTCCCTCTACTTTACGGGGAGCACCCCCCCCACACACACACGTCATCCACTGATGGTGGCGGGGTTTGGGGTTAGGGTTCCTGATGTTACTTCTGCCTTCCGCCCTACACTTTATTCTCCACAATCAATTTATGCACCGAAGGGCTTTGCACTAATTGCGCAAGGGAAAGATTGCAAATTCTGCAAACGTACGCAGAGCGCCCGCTGTTCACAACTTCTCCTAGGGCGCCGGGGTTGCACCTCAGAGTGACACCCCAAAATGGGCTCTGTCTTGGCGGACGCAGCATCACCCAGGTCGCTCACCTGTTCGGGCTTCCCAAGATCCCGCGGCTCTGCGCCGCGCTCTCTGCCTAGAGCACAGAGGAGGTGTGCTTGGGGCAACCTGGAAGCCGGGATGCTGCCGTCCCACCGGGCGGTCTTGTGGAGGTTGGGCTTCTTTCTAGGTGTGCCAGCGGAAATCTCCACAGTCCAGCTAAGCCGATTGCTGCTACTGGTCTCCCCTGGCGCCTCCAACTTCTGGTCGCTGCCTCGACAGCGCCAGCCCCAGGCTCTCAGCGTGGTCTGCTCTGGCCGGAGGGCGCCGCCGCCAGTGGGTGCCAGGCTCACTGCGCCCGGTGAATGCCCTGGCAGGCTCCCCGGTTTAGCATTTCATTCTCAGGAGCGTCCCGTTTCCCCGCTAGCAACACCCGGGAGCCGCCGGGAGACGGAACCTCGGCTGCTCAGTCTGATGCATTGAACCTTTCTACGCATCCGTCTTCGGCGAGGGGAAAGACATCTGCCTACCTGCTGGTTATTCGCCAAGTGATGTGAGAAACCAGAACCCCGGGGCAGCGGGAAGAAAGAAAACAAAAACAAAAACCCGCAGGCGGCCACAGCTGCCACAGGTGCAGGTAGGCACTCTGCGTTCCCGCCCTCCGAGGCATGAGATTGGATCAGGTCGCATACGTGGCGCCAGCCTTGGGGTGTCTGATTGGAGAAAGGCTGTGCTGCGCCGCTCCCCGCTCCGACTCCTTCAAGAAGGAACCGTGGAGGAGACCCGAGGCCAGAAACGGAGGCTGTCAGTGGCGTTCGGTGTATTCCTTTGATCCTAACCGGGTATCTTTTTACCCTGCCTCTCCAGGTCTCCACCCATAGCCCCAGCTCCCGGGATCCCAAGTTTTGTAGCTGTTTCATTCCCAGGCAAAATATTGCAACGTTGCAGGTGCCCTTAGTTAAAAGGTTGTAATGTATTAAGTTCGCTGTTTGCCAGCCAGGCGCTGTTCCAAGCGCTTTGTGTGGACTGACTCATTTACCCCTCACAACAACCGTAGGAGGCAGGTATTATTATTCCCCTTGACAGGCGGGGAGACCCTGGTGCTGAAAGGTTAAATGGTTGCAGATCCGGATCGTGGTCTTATCCAGCACGTTTATACGCAGCCTGCCAGCCTTCTTACTCGACTACGTGTGGATGTGGATTTCCTTCTCTCGGGCCTGAAAGTCCAGTAGACAGCCGCCTCGCCCGGGGAGTACAGGTCCAGCCGAGAGCAGGAAGTGAGCCAGCGGATTGCATCAAGGTTCAGGAGGTGTTTTGCTCCCGGGAGCATATAGGTGCTTTTGATGAATTAGAAGGGCATTGATATAGGGCATTTTCGCTAAAGGCAGGGGTGCAGCCTGCCTCATCCTCCAGGATGCTCTTCTTTTTCAAAGAATTATTTTGATGTTCCTTGAGCTCAAGGATAAACTCTGAAAGACCGGGGGTGGAGGGATTCACATCGGAACATCTTTCTGAGAACTTTCAGAAGCATAAAATAGTGAAAGACATGGTGCCTACCTCAAATAACTTAAAATATAAAATTTGTACAGAGAAATTTATTTATAGAGTGCTTCAATGCATGAAATATTATAAAATATGAATACTTTATATCATTAAACTGTTAGTTTGGCATTCTTGGGTTTTTAAAGGATATTCTCAGCAGTGTGTATTTGAAAGAATGCTGGAAACACCTATCTCTAAACAGCTACTTCTGAGAGATAATACATATGCTTATGATTTAACCACAGATTTAAACAGTTTTCTATTATTTGCAACCTAAAACATTCCTCCTTGATACAATCTGTTAGAGTTATAGAAAAAAAAAAAATACTTTATATCATTAAACTGTTAGTTTGGCATTCTTGGGTTTTTAAAGGATATTCTCAGCAGTGTGTATTTGAAAGAATGCTGGAAACACCTATCTCTAAACAGCTACTTCTGAGAGATAATACATATGCTTATGATTTAACCACAGATTTAAACAGTTTTCTATTATTTGCAACCTAAAACATTCCTCCTTGATACAATCTGTTAGAGTTATAGAAAAAAAAAAATGATGTTCAAAAGGAAAAAAAGGCAATGTTGTCACATTTTTTTTCTGACCAATCTGAAAAGTTCTTCACAGAAGGGTTTTAATTTGATGTTTAAGTGATGGGAAAGTTTTTGGAGGCAGGGGATGCATCTGTAAAAGGAACTTTCACTGATATGCCTTGTAGTTGAGGGAATGACTAGATAAAGCTAAGTATATAGTGCATGGTTGAAAAGCTGGGGTAAATCCAAGAGGTGAGGATCATCAGATTATCTGAAACTTTATAGTAATTTAACTTTCAAAGACAGAGTTTTAAATCAAAACTATTAAGATTCATTTTTGTCCATGTTTTGAATCTGGAACTACTTTAATCCATAGAAGTTTTCATAACCACTTCCATGCAAGAAAAAAAAGCCACTAAAGCCCCAAAATCCTCATGCAAAGGTTAGTCAAATACAGTTGTCTTCTGTGACTATTGATCTAGGGAATCCTATAGCTGGGACATAGGCTGGTCCTACACTTTTGTGTTGGTAAGCTGGACGTCATCCAGTGTAGATGCATTTAGAAGTTGAACTATCTATCCAGTGAATGTAGATGACTTTTAATGTTACAGAATTTAAATGTGTTTAGACTGGGCAATGCTTACATTTCTTAATAATATTTTATCTTGTCATTTTTTGTTTTTCAGCAATGTGTTGATGGTTTGAGTTAGGACACTTTATTTCTTTTTCTTTTTATTAAATTGCTTCTTTCTCAGGTGAACCTTTAAGCACAACCAATGTTTACACTTAAAAGACAATAGAGAATGAATTCATACGGGGCAAGATTTGCATACTAGAAATTAAAGTGAGAACTGCAGAGGTCAAACCTGGTATTTGCAATCCTAGCACACCTGGCACTGCATGGAAAACTGATGATCACCTTTTAAAGCATTTGTGGCGGGAATTGGGCAAAGGAAAACACACAATGAAAAAAAGTTAAGAAATATTGCTCATCAAAAATGAAGCAAATAAAGATTGTTTATATGTTTTCATCAGGGATAACCGTGGTAAATGTTTGGGTGTTAGTCCTTTTATTCTTTTTGTCCCTATTTTCATTTTTCTTCTTTTACTCCTTACCTTTCTTATTCTCCTTCCCTCCCTTCCTTCATTCCTTTCTCCTATGGATTCTTCCATTCTTTGAAAATTTGATATGTATCTCCTACAACCCTTTCCTTTGTAGTCATCAGTGTTTGGCAGTTTAATATTGCTTTTCTCCTTTCTGTGTGTTCCCATTAGTGTTGTTGGATTTAGTTCATAACTTGCATCCGTGCCTGAAGTTGGAATCCACGTTTATAGCATTTCATCCTGTACCCCATCGGGTTAATGTGAATGCACATCTGGAAGCACAGAAGTTATAGTCACAAAATAATACTAATCATTCCAGTTTTTTACTTGACTTAAGCAAGGCTGATGTGGTCCATGCAGACTGTCTCTGATGTTCAGTGAACACCAGCTAACTCTTCCTGACTCCCCACTCCTACTCCCATTGAGAGTCTTGGGTCTTGGTATTCTTGGGTATCACTGTATATGCCTAATTTTCTTTCCACAAGTATTTGTAGGAAAATTTAAAGCCTAAGACAAAGGTGACTTACTCTAGAAAGGATATTCAAGAGCTTAAAGGGACTATCAGATAGGACCACTTTACACTAAGTTTATGGCTTTGGGATTTTTGGACAATGAAAACAAGAAATCTGTGTGAGCACCAGCACATAGTCACACTGATCTGGGGCATATCCATTTGTTATTTCCCTCTCTACCCCCAGCTTTTTTTCTGTTCCAAAGTAACTTAATTGTCCATGTAGAACTGGGTGGGAGACATGGGTATGTTTTATTCCTGAGCTGCCCAGACTCTGAGGGTGTGGCTCTTTGGGGCTACACTTAACAAAGGAAGGAACTCCTTTTGATTGCTCTTCTCTAAATGAGCACTAAGCTTATAATTTTGTCCCTTTTGCTCCAAGAGGCTATCAAAAGAGAAATTGTTTTGGTACCCGATTGTTTTCAGCAGGGAAATTCATCCAAATAACCAACCTAGCCACTGACAGGAATGGGTGTGTCTTAACTATATTGTGAATTGTTTACCTGGTGTTTGTCCCCATATACTATACTTGTATTTGTTTGTTTATTGTCTGACTCCCTCACTAGAAAATGAGTTCCATTTTATTTAATGATTATTTACATAACATTTCCTCTGTACCAGGTACAGTTCTAATTGTTTTATTATGAGTATAGATGAGGTGATTGAGACACTCAGAACTTAAGTGACTTGCCCAAGTTTACCCAGCTGGTAAGTATCCAGAGGCCTGGAGAAACTGGCTGCAGAGTCCAGGGACCTAACTAGTTAATGGGCTGTGTCCCTCCATGAGTGCTAGGACATGCATGTCACTAATGAATCTTTAGGACTTGGCATGCTGCCCGGCAATAAAAATTCTTAATATTGTTGAATGAGTGATCCTCGAATGCATAAGCAGAAATGCTTTGTTGATTATAATACAACTTGTTTGCAAAAAGAAATGCAATAAAATTAGCAATGAAATAAAATTTCAATCCATCATTACCTATAATAGCCTGATTTTCTTCAATTCTGAGATGTGAGTACAAAGGTGGACCAAATTATCTGTTGAATTTCTGTTTTTGTAAAATGGGAAGAACACTATCATATTGCAATACCCTTTGAAGGAGGTGGAGTTAGGTGGTAAGATACAGATAGGGTAAAAATGATATAATAACCAGAGGATGTCTGCTGAGATAGTATTAAATATTGTACTGAAGGGATAAATGAATGAATTAGAGGACATGCCATCTCAGAACAAGGCTTCACAGCACATCCTGTCTCTCTTAGGAAACAAAGATAATTCAAGTTTGTTGTTTGTTAGAAAATCATTGGTGTAAATTAAAGTAATGCATTACCATCTAAGGTAATGCTCTCTAACCAATCACCTGGTGCCAGGTCAGGGATGGGGTAAACTAGCTCCTTTAAAGGTGACCTGCCATCTGCTGTTGTTAATTTTCCTTTTCAAAGGGTTGATTTGGTTATGCTCTGTTTGTTGGGTTGTATTTTCTCATTTGTGGTTTGTCAGTGTGTCAACTCATTACATCACCTGTGTAGAAGGTGGATATCTGATGGAAAAGTAACTTGGTGCAGAAAGTGAATCTTCTGGTTTCCTCACCTGCATCAAGTCCAATGTCACACTTACATAGTTAGAAATCCATAAGAAACCACTGCTTTCCTGTCACAGGCTGTCAGGGTTGGGGCACCAAAGTTTTGGGGTTCAGCTCTGCTCCATGCTAACACAAGGAAGTCTCACACTGTACTCTCTGACTTAGTGAATAGCCAGGTTTATCCATTTGATGTAATTTATTTGTATATGAGAGAAACTACTTTGGTTGCAGCTATAAACCTTTTATAATAATGGCAAACTTAAAATTCTTACTGTGAGCTTTTCACTTTACTCTGGGCGTATCCAAAATACACAGTGTTCTTTCCCCTTTTTTAATGACAGAGCAACCCTGAGAGACAGATACTAAAGTCCTACTGTTTTATCTTAGAAAGTTGAAGCAATTTGCTCAAGGTTACAGGACTGTAAGAGTAGAGTCATTTAGACTTGGTTTGAGTTACTCTGTTCCTAATACAGTGTTCTTCTAATATTGTTATTTGCATCTCATATTGCCAATTAATTAATCACTGGATCAATAAATGTTTGTTGGTATCAAGTATATTACATCAAAAGAGATCGTCATGCTTTAAAAATTCTAATTAGGTTATTGTCTTCTAAGTTTCCCAGTTAAAACAATGCTAAATCATATGTGGCTGCTTAAATATTAAAGCCCTGTGGAATCACAGAGCACTCAAAGCTCAAATTAACACTGGGATTTGTAATTATATACATTTCTTATGAAAAGACTTGATGGCTGGTTTGAATTACTAGCTATGTGGCTTTGGGAAAATTACTTAATATCTTTAGGCTCCAGTTTCCTTAAATGTGAAGTGGGGATAATAGTCTCTACTTCTCTGGGTGGTTGCTAAGATTAAAGTGGACGGTACATTTATTAGAGTCCCTAGCACAGTGCCTGACACATAAAAGGGATTTAGTAAATGTCAGTTTCTCCTTGATTAATTCCTTTCACTGGCTGTGTGGGAAAAGTATGTGAGCAAACTTCTCCAAGTGAAGTGCCTTATTGAAAGTGATGGTAGGGAGTCTGAAAGTTCACTGCCATTATTGGTTGGGATCAGTTTTTCCCTCCAAGAATGTAATGTTAAAATTTATTGGAGAGTATTTAATATACAACAATTTGCTGTGAATCTAACTTTTTTCAGGAGCACATTTAATGACTAAATGAAATCAAGCAGAGGTTTTCTGCATGTGACTCAGGTAGGCTCTCATCCTTTTAGGACCAAGACCACCTTACCTGCAGTTAAAGGAGGAAGTGTGCTCAGTTAAGCTTGAAAGCAATGTTA